AAAAAAAAAAACCTCACTTTGTTATAATCAAAAGAGGAACATGTGACTAGACTCAACAACAATCTTTACTTTCATACCCAGCACCTACAATTATTTCCATCCCTAAGCAAAGACTCTGATTCCATGAATCATAATTATAAACACAGAAAGAAGATCAACTGATGAGTTGGACAAACTTCTGGTTTCTAGTCCAGTATGTAAGGAGTTTAGAATTGCCATTCTATCCCATGAACAAGTCAAAAGCTAAACAGTCTAAAAAACAGCAGTTCTCCTTAGATCCCTCAGAGAAGAGAGGAGCTCACAGGGCAAAGCAGAGAAGTGAGGAGCTCACAGGGCAAAGCACTGCTCCAAGTGTTGGAGAGACAGACGGGTGGATTCAGAGATTCACAACTTACTAGAGCAAAAACATTTGCAAGAACCAGTGCCAGAATAGGAAAACTTCAGCTGTATTTGATGAATTGCTGGAGCGTCAGCATGGACAGCTCAAAGAGTTAAAAACTCCAGGGTACCCAGTCATGAGAGAAGAGAACATTTTTGTGAGTTTTGCCTTCAGGAGATCAACCAGGTCCTCATAGTGAGTATCAGAGAAAATTCCTCTCTTGCTTATGGCAAGGGACGGGGAAAAGGAACCATTTTGAAATAAGCCAGAGCACTCTGCTCTTAATAAGACCCGCCCTTAGGAGAAATGATTTCACCAAAGTCTAACCTAACTGGCAGAAGGGAAATATGCAACTCCAGCTCCCTCTACTTACCACGTGGGGATGGAAAACATCCACCTGTCGCCCACTCTAGGCATCCAGGCATCTTGCCCCTCCTCAGACAGGGAAAACTGAAAAGCGCTAATAAAGTTCAGACTCCAGGTGCAAGAGGCACACAAGAAGACTGAGACCTAATCATGGGACTACAGACTGCTTCCCCTTCCCCCACACCTTATCACTATATTACTAAAGACCTATTTATATACCTCCTTTTATATAGTACATCACATCCATCTTTCAACAAAAATTACAAGACAAACTAAAAGGCACAAAACACAGTTTGAAGAGAATGAACAGAAATTTCTAAATTTAGAAAGGTCAAAAATGTTGGAATTATCAGACTAGAAATGTTAAAAATATTAATCTGAGTTTATCAATAGTCACTTTAAATGCCTAAAGAGTCTAAGTACACTAATTAAAAGATAAGAGATTGCCAGAGTGGGTCAAGAAATAAGACCCAAATACATGTTGTCTACAATAAATGCATTTTAAATATAAAGACACATATAGATTAAAAGTAAAGGGAAGGGGGAGGCGCCTATGGCTCAAAAAGGTAGGGCGCCTGGCCCATATGCTGGAGGTGGCAGGTTCAAACCCAGCCCTGGCCAAAAAAAAAGTAAAGGGAAGAAGAAAGACATATCAAGCTAACGCTAATCAAAAGGAAACAGGAATATGTACATAATTATATTAATTTCAGACACAGTAGACTTCATAGCAAGAGAAAATTTATCAGAGACAAAGAGGGACATTACATAATGATGCTCCTGCATCAATATTCTAAAAAGACATAACAATCCTAATACATTTAGGGTTACATACACTTCATCCTTAATGCACCAAATCACAGCATCGAAATAATGTGAGATAAAAACTGACAGAATTGTAAGGAAAACTAGATTAATCCATAATTGGAAGCTTTAATACCATTCCTCTATTAGAAGTGTACCAGGCATAAAATCAGTAAGAACACTGTTAAACTTAACAACACCATTAATCAATTAGATACATGGGTCATTACGAAAGTTTTGAGATATACAAAAATCAATACATGTAAAATCCACATGGACAGGCCCTCCCAGAAACACCAATAAGCTGAGTAAGTAAAAACTTGCACAGGTGAATCAGAAAGGACACTGTCGACTGTGTTTCTTGGAAGTGAAATAAGGGACCATAACACAGTCTATCTTAAAACTTTCACAGTGACCCACATATAACTCACATCTATACACTACTTCATCTAATAACAGCAGAAGATAACATTCTTCTCAAGCTCACATGGAACCTTATTCACCAAGACAGACCATATTCTGGGCCATAAAACACAACTTACCAAAGTTAAAAGAACAGAAATCATATAATATCTGTGCTTAGACCATAATGTTAAGAATTAAACTAGAAATCAGTAATAGAAAGATAGTTCTAAAATTTTCAAAATATTTGGAGATTAAACAATATACTTCTAAATAACACATGGGTCAAAGAAGAAATCTCAAGAGAAATTTTAAAATATTTTGAACTAAGTGAAAATGAAAATATAATTTATGAAAATCTGGGCCAGGCATGGTGGCTTATGCCTGTAATCCTAGTACTCTAGGAGGCTGAGGCAGATGGATTGCTTGAGCTCGTGAGTTCAAAACCAGCCTGAGCAAGAGAGAGACACCATCTCTAAAAAACAGCCAGGCATTGTGGCACCTGTAGTCCCAGCTACTTGGGAGGCTGAGGCAAGTGAATCACTTGAGCCCAGGAGTTTGAGGTTGCTGTGAGCTACAACACCACAGCACTCTATCCAGGGTGACAAAGTGAAACTGTCTTGAAAAAAAAAAATTATGAAAATCTGCGGGATGCAGTGAATACAGTGCTTAGAGAAAAATTTATAGCATTAACTGAACATATTACAAAGAAGAAAGATCTAACATTAATAATCTAAGCTTCCATCATAGAAAAATAGGAAAAAAACAAAGCAAATTAAATAGAAAGAACAAAAGGGAAGGGAAAGGGAGGAGAGAGAGAGAGAGAAAGGGAAGAAGGGAGCGAGGGAGGGAGAGATGGGGAGAAAGAGAGAAAGAGAGAAAAAGGAAGGGGAAGAGGAGAACAAGTGGTGGCTCACGTCTATAATCCTAGCACTCTGGGAGGCTGAGGCAGGTAGACTGCTTGAGCTCAGGAGTTAGAGACCAGCCTGAGCAAGAGCCACACTTTATCTCATAAAAAAGAAAAAAATAGCTGAGCATTGTGGCAAGTGCCTGTAGGGAGTCTGAGGCAAGAGGAACACTTGAGCCCAAGAGTTTGAGGTTGCTGTAAGCTATGATGCCAGAGCACTCTACTGAGAGCAACAGAGAGGGGAGGGAGGAAATCAGAGCAGAAATCAATAAAATTGAAAACAGGAAATCAACAGAGAAAATCAACTAAATCAAAGCTGTTTCCTTGAAAAGATAACTAACATTGGACAAATCTAAAGTCAGTCTAAGAAAAGGAAACAGAAGACACAAATTGCTAATATCAGAAATGACAAAGGAGACATCACTACAGATCCCATGGACATTAAAAGGTACCTTGACCAATTCCTTGAAAGTCAGAATTTGCCAACACTCATACAAGAACATTCATTTGTATCTATTAAATGAATTGAAACAATAATAACCTTCCAAAACAGAAAGCACCAAGTTTACTTCACAGGTTCACTGGTGAATTCTACCAGACATTTAAGGAAGAAATCATACCAATTCTCTATAATCTCCTCCGGAAGATAGAAGCAAAGGGAATATGAAGTCTGACAATTAAATTCATGAACTTGTCCTAGAAAAACTGCTACATACCTCATTGCTGAATATCACTATGGTCACCTTTGTAGTACTCCCTATGGGAAGCTATGCACGATGCCAGTGCCTAGTCCATCCTTCAAAGCAATACTTTTTCTAGAATGGCCATCAGAGCTATCATATTACCCTTGATGTCCTGAATGGCATTAAAATGTCTTCCTTTCAATATCTCCTTTATCTTTGGGTAAAGAAAAAAGTCACTGGGGAGATCAGGTCTGTAGGGAGGGTGTTCCAATACAGCTATTTGTTTATTGGCTAAAAACTCCCTCACAGATAGTGCAGTGTGAGCTGATGCAATGTCAGGATGCAAGAGCCATGAGTTGTTAACCAAAATTTTCTGTTAAGATTTTCCTGTTTATCAATGTTTACTTGAGCCACTATGCTTCTCACAGTTAGCCAATAATTTTTATTCATAATTTAACAAATTTTTACAATGCTTTCATCAGTTCTGCTTATTACTGACCACCCTGACTTCTCTTTATCAGTGATGCATTCTCTCCCTCAGAAAAACATTTACTCCATTTGTACACTCCTGTTTTCTTCATGGCATTATCCCCATACACTTGGACCAACATGTCCCCCATTTCACTTCCACTCTTGCCAAGTTAAATGAGAAATTTAATATTTATTTGTTGGTCTAATTCAAGCTCCAACATTCTCACGACAGCACACGAAACATGCAACAACAGTAAAGAACGCCACTGCTACACATGGAAACAAACACAGCTGTGAGACATGAATACACCCAGGCTATGAAACCTTACTGAGTTGTTTATGCAGTGCTGCAAACATAAAGACATGGTGGCAAGTTCAAGAATTTGCAACAGCACACAAAAAGCGAGACACTGCCACATGTCAACACAAACACAATTGTGGGACACTGATATACCAAGATTATGAAACCTTACTAAGTTGTTTGTATAGTGCTGCCAACATAAGCACACGGTGGCAAGTTCACAAACTTCATTGTCAGACCTCGTATATGAAAATGAAGTTAGGAATTACAAATTAAAACAACAATGAGATACCACCTTACATCAGTGGTAACAAATGTACTTCTCTCATGAGGGATATTAATAGTGGAGGAGGTTGGAATCAAAGAAAGCAGGTAAACGAGACCTCTCTGTACCTTCTGCTCAATTTTGCCCTGAACCTAAAACTGCTCTAAGAAATAAAACCTATTTTTTTTTTTAAGTGCCTGTGCACCTGATGGAGAGAGAGGTTATACAGGATGGTGATGATAGAAGAAACTAGCTAAAACAAAACAAAATAGCAAAGCTGAATGATCCCTTTTTAGGAAAATATCTTACGGGCCATTTAGCCCTGGAGTCTCCACCTTTTTCAGGTGATGTTTTGCTCTGAGGAACACAGTTAAACTATATTTCACACCATTATTTAAACTTGGGAAAATTTTACTTGCAGAGAATGTAACTAAGTAGATCACATGCTACAACATATGTGCCTGAAAAAACAAGCACCTTTACTTTTGAAATTTGTGAGCACTCAGGAGCAAATTGAAAAGTCAAAATATAAAAGTCACAGGAAAAAAAAATACATAATATAGAAGATTCCATTACCTTATTTTTTCTCAATCTTAGAAGCAATTCAACTTTTGCTCAGGTCACAAGGGCATAATTTACGAACCTTTGGTCTAGTCCAACCCTCTCATTTTACAGAAGAAGAATCATAAAAACCTTGATTTAAGTCAATTCTCAGCTTGGTCTCAAATTCTTCATCTTCCAGCTCTGAAGCCCTAAGACTTCCTCCATTTGTTTCTTCACTGCCACTTAAGATAAGTAGCTGGTTTCTTTAAAAGAAATAATATAGGGGGAGGTAGGGTGGTATATTAAAATGAAGCATACTCTCTGTACCTAATTTTGCAACTTTAAATATTATTCTTTCTAAATCTTCAGTTTGTAAAGGAATTTAAAAGGCAAAGTGCCTTTCTTCCTCTGATCTTACAACTACATAGAGATTTACTATTTAAATGTATAGAAAACCCCTGCCATTTGCAAGGGGTGTGCCCCAAAGCTATAATTTCTGCCCAAAAAAAGTGGTTAAGTATAATAATATCACAATAATTATTGACTATAACAAGTGGGGGCCAGGTGTGGTAGCTCACACCTGTAATCCTAACACTCTGGGAGGCCAAGTCAGGAAGATCCCTGAGCTCAGGAGTTCAAGACCAGCCTGAGCAAGAGTGAGACCCCCCCCATCTCCACTAAAAATAGAAAAATTAGCTGGGCATCATGGCAGGTGCCTATAGTTCCAGCTACTCAGAAGGCTGAGGCAGGAGGATTGCTTGAGCCTAAGATTTTGAGGTTGCAGTGAGCTATGATGATGCCACTGCACTCTATCTGGGGGATAGAGCAAGATTCTGTCTCAAAAAAAAAAAAAGAAAGAAAGAAAGAAAAGTAGAGAACAAGGGTTATGTTTAGAGGAAGGGATCCTCTACATATGCCAGTTACAAAGCAGGATACATTATATTGTTGGTCTTTAGGGTCATTTGCAAACTTTTAAAATTGCAAATGTTAAACCCATTATACTTTCACCTCCCTTACCTCAGTTCTACTACTTAGTTATATAAATTTAGATAAGATCACTTACCTGTTTACCCATTTTGCCTACCTTATTGGACGGCTGGGTTGACTCGATGATGGATATACTATATAAAAACCTTAGAACAGTGTCTGATACACAGTGAATGCTCACAAAGCATCAGTTAATATCGCATTTGAGCCTCACAGCTTATAGGTATTGTGAGACACTGATATACCAAGATTATGAAACCTTACCAAGTTGTTTGTATAGTGCTGCCAACATAAGCACATGGTGGCAAGTTCTCAAACTTCATTCTCATGGTTTGCAAATGAGGCATTGGTCATGTAGCAGAAAGAACAATGACTTTGGAACCTGTCTGCCTACACTACTGCTATAAGCCTCCAAACATATCGTATATTAAAAAAGATTTTGTGACGTATAAAACATAATACAAATTACCCATACTGCGTGTATGGTCCTGAGAGGCAGTTTGGTATAGTGGTTACACATGCAGGCTTTAGAGTCAGAATGGTCAAGTTTAAATTCTGACACTACCATCTAGAAGCTATGTGACCTTGAACAAATTATCCACCTTTTCTCTGTCTCTGTTTCTTCATTGGTTAAATTAGCAATACAGTACCTATCTTAAGTTGTCGACTGTATTGAATGAGCTAATACACATAAAGCACTTAGAACAGAGCCTTGTATGTCATAGTGGTTAATAAATATCATATCATAGTGGTCAATCATTATTATTGTGATTTGGGCAATTATTAACCTAGACACAGCCCCGCTGCCTTGCCTGATCCTTGGAGAAGAGAGCAGGAGAAAAGACCTTTTGCCTCACCTGCTGTCCTGCAGCCTGTGCCTCCCGGTGCCAATCCTCCACCAGGGCCACTGCTTCCTCACCACTCTCAGGGTGGCGTGCTTGCACCCAGGTCTGGACCTCCCTGGGTAAGATAGTCAAGAACTGCTCTAGCACCAGCAGCTCTAGGATCTGCTCTTTGAGGCGGACCTCTGGCCTCAGCCAACGACAGCAGAGAGCCCAGAGCTGGCTGAAGGCCTCATGGGGTCCGGCTGCATCCGTGTACTGGAACTGCCTAAAGCGCTGGCGGGAGGCCTCGGGGCCAGCGACAGACTCTTGGTCATTCTCCTGGGGTTTGGATTCTGATCCCCATGAGTCTTCCTCCAGTTTCACAATTAGGACTTCTTCAGGCTCTGGTGGGGGAGAGGCCTGGGCCTGGGATTCCGGAGCTACTGCCATGGTCAGATCAGCTGCATTATCCTCATCTGACGTCTTCCTGAATCTACAGTCAACTCTTCAAGGGGTTCCTGAGAAAGAGACTGCTCCCCACGGTTCTGAAGACAGAAAGGCACAGGATGGAGTTGAGTAAGAAGACCCAAAAGACTCGCTTTCCTCACTTCCCCAGTACGCTCCACCCTCTGTGCTTAAGGCAGGGGTGCTAAGAGATGCCCCTTTCCCATAGGCAGGAAGTGAAATTGCGATCTGGTACCAAAGCCAGCAGTAGCATGCTTCAGAGGAAGACAGCAGAGTATTAAGTCTTCTGGAACGTGCCTCAACACCTTAGCCTGGCATCCTAAGCCTCCATTATCTGGCCTTCCTCCCTCCTACATGTGTCCAAATTCTAACCTTCAAGTTGCATTTCAAATTTTATCCTCTCCATAAGGCCTTTCTTCCTGAGCCTGAAAGCCTAACTGGCATCCTCTAGGGAAGCCCTCCTTGCAAAATCCTTCTTTTACTCTACACTCCCTCTTGGTCATCTCACCCATTTGGCATTATTCACCAAGTCTGAACATGACTCCCCAAACCCCAGGCAGGACCTGTCTCCAGACCTCCAGGCCCCCCAAATCTAAACCCTTCCATAACATTTCCACTTTACAGTCCCTCAGCCACCCCAAACTCAATGGGTCAAAAGCTCAATTCATCCTTTTCTCCTGCAAACCTGTCCACCTTCTGAAACTCCCCCATTGAATGAAGGCACCACCTTCCATCATCTGCCCACTTCAGAGGGCTGGTCATCCTCCTTCTCCAAGTGTTGCATGAATCAGTGCCACAGAAGAAAAGTCTGTACTGAAATGTCTGAAAGAGGGGGTGACTGGAGCTTGCTCTGGCACACAGCTCTTAACTTTATTTCTTTTAATCTTATATACTCTTAACAATACTAAGTTCTGCACGTACACATTCTATTAATAAAACTAATTGGCAGCTAATGGTTTATGTGATAAGAGTACAAAGAAACCATATAGAGCAACCACAAAAACTTATTCAGCTGTTTGTCTGAGGTATAGCATGTAACTGAAATGCGCATTAACTTATCTTGTTTTTTACTCCTAAAGTCTCTTCCAGGAAATTCTAGAGACAGCCAAGTAACCACAATGTAACTTCAAGTGCCATTGAGCTTACATCCAAGATCCCCTACATCCAATTCATCACCAAGCTGTGACCACTTGGCATCTCCATCCCCAATGCCACCACTTCAATCCCCAGAATCATCATGGCCTAACACATGTCCTGCTTCCACTCCCCTCACTCCAGCCTCTGCTCCATTCTTTGCACAACAACCACACTAGACCAAAACCTGACTATGTCACTTCCCCACTAAACATCTATCAGTGGTCTCCCATCTCCCTCAGGATAAGGTTGAAACTTTGTCCAAATCTCCAACCTCATCTCTTTACTATGCTCTACTGGTCACAGTGAGCCAACAGCACAGCCCACAAACCCTACACCGGCTGCTCTCTGAAACTCCCCTCATGCTGTGATCTTTCTTCACCTAGCTGGGTCTCCACTTAAATTGTCTCCACTTTTTCCATGAGGCCTTCCCTGTACCCTGTAACAAGAGTCAGTCCTCAGCCACAAGCTTCCTTAGCATCTTACGTTTTCTCTACCATAACTCTGATCATCCTTTATTGTAATTATCTTACCTACTAGATCGCTGACTTCCTGAGGGACCTAGCACTGTGCTTAGGACACACAGGAAGCACTCAGTCAACAGTCAAGTCATGAGAGATCAACTAACAATATGGCATGTCATGACACGAGATTACAATTAATCCCTTTCTGCACACACTAGATAAAAAAGAATAAATGACCTTCCCGCTCATGCCAGAAGGCATTCCTTCCACCTCTTTATTTCCATCTCTCTATGACACTTAACACTTATCCCTATTAAATTAAAGGGATATGTGTATGTCCCCAGGGAGATTACAGCCTCCCTGACAACACCCAAGCTGGGTTATCTGAGAAAATGAGTTCTTTGTGTCACTCCCAATAATTCTAAATAACACTGTAAAAAACTCACTCAAAGGAGGTTGTTGGCTGCATCCAAATGGGAACAACACGGCTGAAGTGAGAATGGAGGAAGGGTGCTAGTTAGCATTTTAGGACATCTGACTAGCCTGAATGGAAACAGGGCAAGGATAAGAAAATAAGGTTTGTCCTAAAGACTTCTATTTACTTAGGAAAAGGCTGAGAGCAGAACTCACAACTGCCCAACAACTTCCTGCTCACCCTTCAACTGCCAGCTTAAAATGTCACCTCCTTTAACAAGAGTTCTTTGACGTGCCTTTGTCATGTCCTGCACCCATCTCTGCCTTCCAAGAATTGCCTTCCTGCTCCTATATTCCCAGTGCAGGTGCACACCTCAATGTATTAATAGGTGTTATCCTACACCACTATAGTTATCTGTTCCTACATCTGACAGCCCCATCTGACTGTATTCCCAGGTCTAGTACTGTATCTTACTAGTTTCTGCATCCACAGTGCCCAGCCCAGTATCTGATAAACAGCAAGATTATAAAAAGTTTTATTGCCTTGGGGGCGGCACTTGTAGCTCAAAGGAGTAGGGCGCAGGCCCCATATACCAGAGGTGGCGGATTCAAACCCAGCCCCAGCCAAAAACTGCAAAAAAAAAAAAGTTTTATTGCCTTTTAAATCTGGTACATCAAAAGCCTAATGGGATATGGATGATCCATACTTTATATAAAAATAAAGAATTAACCTTTCATGAAATTTGAAATTTCTTTTTCAACTACAGCCTTACTGCTGTACCAGTCCAAACACATTTCTGTCACTCTCTCACACAAGGACTAACTCACCATTTATAGAGTGCCCACTGTACACTCTGCACTTCACTGGGAGCTACAGATCTAACTAGCTAGGACAGACAATCCCTACCTTCATGAAAACTATAATCTAGTGAAAAAGATAGTCATAAAGCACATTTCTGCTCCTACATACAGAGAACACTACAACAAAACAGGCAACTAGCAGTCCCACTAGGTCTAAAGTCCAATCTCAGATAAGAGGTATTTTCTTCTGCAAAGACTTGAAAATCCCAATAGTTTCAAACAGAAATCAGAAAGCCCTGGGGACCATATATGATCACAACTCTTGTCCTTTCTTAGACTGAAATAAGAATAGCAGCCTATGCTGTGGAGAGAGAGGAGAACACAGCCAATAGCAGGGTGACTTCACACAGGAGTGACCTGGCATCCCCCAGTCCTCAAGCTACCAGGAATAGCCCAGCCTCCCTAGGATCTGCAACCTCCACGAGCACCCATTCCCTGAGTGCCTACAAGGTGCCAAGCACAGGCTAAACACTCTGAATTCACGGCTGCACTGAAACCCGCAGGCAGGCAAGTGGGGTGACACTGGTGTTGCGCTACATTTCATTGATCTGTAACTTCTACTGTATACAAAGACCAGAAAGAAAAAAAGAAAGCATAATTTAAATGGTATAGCCAGGTCCATCCACTGTGTGTCTACTGCAGAGCGAGCATGTGCTGGCAACGCTTAGGACTTTGCTATTCCCCAGGTTGATCTTAGTTCCCTCGTGCCTCTCTCTCCACTGAGTGTGAGTCAAGTGTCTTTCATACAGCGTGGTCCCTAATATAAGCCAACTCTTTCATGTCATGTTCAAATAAAAAGAAAAAAAAACTGGCTGTGCTAGTTAGCTTATTGAAAGACAGTGTGTTGATTTCTGAAATGGCCTTTTGCCAAAGGATTTTCGAGCTGACTGATTTTTGGCTAACTGTGATTTTCACCTTCTGTGCTGACTTCAGAATGTAATTATCTGATAAGGTATGACTCCCACTATATCCTCAATTACATATACAAAAACTGGGCTTCTACGAAGAAGATTCACTCAAGGTCATACAACCAGCAAGTGGCAGTTAGGATCTAAATCCAGATCTGTTTTCTCTTACCACAGCCCCTCTTTGTCTACCAGTCCTCCAAACTCCTGAGATGATATGGGAAAGTGCAAAGAATATTAAGGCAGAAGTGAGCAGACTAGAGTTCTAGTTACACTCCTGCCATGAATCAGCTATGTGACTCAAGATAGGACATATAGCCCCTGTGGCTGCCTTACCTAGGATATAGCTTGCAGTCTGACACTACTCAGCAGTTTTCCTACTTCCCCAATTAGTATGATGGGGGTAGAGCAGAGGGGCAGGGAAACTAGAATCATTGGCTACAAGTTTAAATGGCTACAGTGGCCTAGTGATGTCAATGAGTGAAGAGAACTGGGTGGGGACTGTGGCTAACCACAGAGTGCCAGGGAGACAGAGGCCCAGAGAGGTCACAGGCCTTCCAATCTTTCCAAAAGAAGCTAGAACTCTAGATTTTTAAATGTTGGCAACTGGCTGGGCATGGTGGCTCGCACCTATGATTCTAATACTCTGGGAGGCCAAGGCAGGTGGATTGCTTGAGTTCAGGAGTTCGAGACTAGTCTGTGCAAGAATGAGATCTTGTCTCTACTAAAAGTAGGAAAATTAGCTAGGCATTGTGGCACGTACCTGTAGTCCCAGCTACTCGGGAGGCTGAAGCAAGAGGATCTCTTGAGCCCAGGAGTTTGAGGTTGCTATGAACTATGACACCACAGCAATCTAGCCTGGCTCAACAGAGTGAGACTCTTATCTTAAATAAATAAATAAATGTTGGCACTAACTCAAAATTGTTTCACATGTCATGAGGATTCACAAAACGTGGTGATGGACCTCACACAGCATGGGCTACGCCATCTATCACCTAAATGTTCTCAAAGGTCCCTTCCAATATCCAGAAGACCTAGAAGAGGTATAGATTCCCTCAAGTGATGAGGGATAAGTGTTGACAAAATCAGGATCCCTTTAGAAACACAGGGGAGCTGAGAGGCATCTTGGCTCCTAGGTGAGTAAGAAAATGGACATGAGCCCACTCAGTGAACAGTAGGATGAGAAAAGATCCTACCAAGTTCCATGGGAAAGGCCAAGACTGGTCTGTGACCTCCAAAAAGAAAAATCAGGGAATTACCAAAGGCTGTCAGGCCCACTTGCCTGATCATCTAAGCTATGGCTTAAAGCAGGCTGACCTCACATGTAAGGGCTTAAACCACGGAGAGCAAATATGTTTCACTTAGAGCACAAACTTCAATCAACTGGAAGTAGCTACCTAAAGTAGTGTGCTGAGGACTCTTTAAGTACCGTGCAAACATGTACTGTGACCAATTAGCCATAACTGCCAGGGACACAGGAAAGGGAAGAGGCAGTACACATTCTATGTATTTGCCACCCCGGCTTAAACTCCCATAGGCATTGACGCAACCTCACTTTCCAGGAGACAGCCCTGACAGGCAGAAGACTAAAGCTCCTGCTCCTTGAAAACTCCACTGAAGCCTGTATAGCAAAGCTTACCCTGAATGGTCTTTATTCATTCAAATAGTTACTGATTTACATCAAGTGCTTACTGCTCTTGATGTAACAGGCAATGGAGAAATAGAGGTGACTGAGAACTCTGTCCTGGAGATGGTCATAGGCTAGCAGAAGAAACAAAAAAGTCACATGTAATTATGATCAAATGTGGTAAATATAGTTAAGAGAAGTCATAGGAGCTGGGGTTTGGGGGTAACAATCTAATAAAGGGAATTGAACAAATTAAGAGTTGAGTTGGTTCTTGAAAGAAGAGTAGTTTTCTCGGCAGAGAATGGGGAAAGAGGGGTAGAATATTCTAAACAGAGAGAGCATCATATATTGTAGTATAATGATAGAAAATCAAATGGCCTTCCCAAGAAAAGAAGGAAATTCTGACAGCCCAGGAGCACATGGTGCATGAAAATTAGGTCGCAAAAGGAGTTTATGAAGGGTCTAGAACAGTGGTTCTCAACCTGTTACCCCTCTGTAACAATGAAAATACATCCTGCATATCAGATATTTACATTATGATTCATAACAGTAGCAAAATTACAGTTATGAAGTAGCAACGAAAATAATTTTATGGTTGGGGGGGTCGCCACAACATGAGGAATTGTATTAAAGGGTTAGGAGCAGCATTAGGAGGCATTAGGAAGGTTGAGAACCATTGGTCTAGAATATCAGGCCTAGGTGTTTGGACTTAATTCTATAGTTGATGGGAACCAATGAAGGTTTTTAGGAAAAGGCATAATCAGATTTGTGGGTTAAACTGATCACAACAGCTGCAATGTGTTTGTTCATGCTGTGAGAGTGAAAAGGTGGAGGCTTCTGTAAAAACTCTGCCAAGAAAGGGACAGATTAAAGATACAGGAAAGACAGTCAAAGATCTGAAGACCTTTGGATTTTCAAATGCAATAAGAATCAGAGGTTAAAGCAGATAAGTCGGTTGGTAGGTATAGAGCATAGTGGTGCCATTCACTTTCATCAAGCAAGGGGAAAAGTGCAGGTCTGAGGCAGAACACAATAGCCAGGCCCACCCACGGGGTTCCAGCGGCAAAAACCATTAGGGAGAGTATCAAATTAAATATGTTTGTTCTAGGAAGTATTTTTAAGGTAGGACTTCAAGCTCGGGCCCTCTTATCTTCACTTCTTGCCAGGGCCCCAGAACCCTCTATCATCCCTTGGGTCTCCAAACCTTTCTATGGCTCTCCCACCTCCCAAACCTCTCTGCCTCCTCACCTTCAGACCTTCCTAAGACCCACCTCACTCCCAGGGCCCTCCATCTCCGTCCTCATCCCCGACCCCTCTGTGACCCTTCCCATCTCCGGACGCTACATCCTGTGATCGCCTATCACCCTCTACACGTCCCCCCCACCCCGCCACATAAGCTTCTTTCTCCTCTGTCACCTTCCCGAGCCCCATGTGTCACCACGACCTCCTAAGTCTTCAGCCCAGAGCCTGCGTCTCCGCTGCCCCCGCCCCGCCACCCGGACTCACCCACCGAGACACCCACTTCACAACAGGGCGGAAGTGCTCCAGGGTTCGCGCAGGGAATGCTGGGACGCGGAGTCCGAACGGCGCCACCCCGAAGATGGGGCGGCCGAGACTACAACTCCCAGAAGGCTGCGCGCGATCGCCGGTAGGCGGCCCCCTCCGTCCACAGTCTTTCAGATGTCCTGAGCCAATAAATGTGTCATCTTCTCACGGCCTCTGACACTGAACAAATCGGAACGAGTTCAAAGCTTGAGGACGGAGCCTATTGAGATTCTGACCCTTTCCATAGGTTCAGGGATAACGGCACCGCCCAATGGGCGGGCACTCGAACAGAAAGAGGCGTAACCTGTTGAATGGGGGCGGTGAGAGCCCTGGAGAGATCAAAGAGAAATAGTGAAAAATAGAGAGGGTGACCAGAGGAGAGCAGGAGAGAATTGGACAGTTGTGGTTTCACTTGTCAGCTCACAGCTAGTTTGCGTGACTTTGGATGAATTCTGAACCTCGCTTTCTCCACCTGTTAAAATGATAATAATAGCATCCATGTCACCAGGTTTTTGTGAGACTTCAATGAGATAATACACCTAAAACGATTAGCTCGGGGCCTGGGTCCTAATAATGCACAGCAAATGTTAGCTGTTATTATGTAGATAAGTTAGTACAGAGCTTGACACTTCGTGGGCGTTGGAATAATGTTAATCATTATTACAGAATAATCCTAGTACAAATGTGGTTGCTTTGTACCACTGCAAATACTTTGAGGTATAAGCCATCTAATGTGAAATTGAGAATGTGGGTTTTGTAGTTAGATAGATCCATCTCTCAACCCAACTACTTCCTAACTGCGTTGCCTTGAACAAATTACTTTATCTCAATTGTCTTGGGATTTTTTTATCTGTATGATGCAGGTTAATATAATAGAACTGACATCACAGGGTGTTGTGGAGATTAAATGAGATGATGAGGGTAAGGCCTGGACTCTGAAGTCAAGCTGCTTGTGTCTGAAACTCCTTACTTTCAGGTGCAGGATGCAGGCCTTGCCACTCACTAGTTGTAAGCCTTGGGCAAATTGCTTAACCTGTCAATATCTTAGTCCTCTCACCTGTAAGATGAGAATGATAATAGTGGCATCTTCCTGATAGGTTTGTTGACAGGAATAAATGGGGGAAAGTAGGGAAAGAGTTCAGAACATGACTAACACAGAAAAAGTGTGTAAAAATCATCATCCATTATTATTAGTTTTATCAGTGGTCATGACCCTTAGGTTAACTGACAGTACCCTAGTATAATGCATCAATAGACGATGGCTAGTGTTAAAAATGGGGGAATTCTATATTTTAGTTTTAATAACGTAGTTTGAATGCCTTCTCCTCTTTAAAACGTGTGCCGACTTATTTATAGTTGTAATGACTCATGTGATTTTACTCAGTAAACATAATAGCCCCCTATAAAGAGTCCTCGTTGAAGTGTCACACCCCCCCCCCATGAAAGTGGTATCCTTGGCCCCAGTTTACAAAGAGGAAAATAGAAGCTTAGAAAAATGAAGTGGCCTGCTCAAGATTGCAGAGCCAGCAGGCACTAGGGCTGGGATTTGAACCCTTGGGCATGTGATTCCAAAGGTCCCACCCTGTATGAAGAAAAGACCATCCGAGGGAAGCAGTGTGGCAGTGTGGGGAATGGGACTGGAGGCATGTGATAGTGTGTCAGGATGTTAAGCTGGAGGGGTAGATATGCAGGTCAGGTAAGGACATCCACTTGAGCATCATCTGCCCTGAAGAGGAAGAAGGGAAGTGTGTACACAGAGAGAGGACACCATTAGGACACAAGAGGGCGCACCTCACCCTAAATCCAGCCTGGAATTATTCTGTGGTTTCACTTAACCTTTGTCTAAGGCTGGTATTTTACAAAAGATGAATGCTAAGAAAGGCCCCCAAAGGCCAAATGCCCTCTCCAGTGTCATGTAGAAATAAGCGACAGAGCCTGAGCCGGATCTTAGTTCTCTCTAGGTAAGCACCCATCAGGATTTGTTTGCAAGTATTCTGTCCACAGTTGTGTATCAAGACCCTCTCTGAGTTGAGCCATCACTAGGCTCTAAGGAGGCAGAGATGAAGGCACTGGCCTCTGCCACCAGGGTCTGATGTCTAAACTTTCCTGATAGAGCACTTGTATGAGGAAAACATTTTTTGAGTACACACTCTCAACATACATGCCTTTATTTACTTATAAATGATGTACATGTAATAGCTAACTTTTCTTGAACACTTGCAATGCATTAGGTCCTTCTCCCAGTGCTTTATACAAATTAACTCATTTAATCCTCACAAGACCCTTTGAGGGAGGATCTAATATTTCCTTATGTCATAGAAAAGGAAATTGAGATACAGAGAGGTAACATGCCAAAGCCATGTGGCTAAACAGCAAACAGGCCAGTTTCAGAATTAGGTGAGATTAAAAAAAAATAGAAATAGAAGTTATAACATTTTCTTCCCAAACTGTAGTGTGATTCCCAAACCTGTGATCAGTCAGTCTTCTGAGAAAGGGAGGTGCGGGAAGTTGTGAGAACCCAGAGGCAATGGCTTAACTAGGCTGGGAGATCAGGGAAGGCCTCTGGGGTAGATGATGGCTGAGCTGCACCTTAAAGAATACTTACAGGCTCCCTAGGGGACAGGTGTTCTTTGGTACAGGAGCAGCATGTGCAAAGGCCCAGAGGCAGGAGTCCTTAGTGTTCTGGGAGCTATAAGTTGTCCAGCATGGCCAGAGCACAGAGTGACTCAGTTCCTCCTCCCAGTGTTGCTAAGTCTCAGAAGGAGATGGATGTGAACAGGCCTTCATGCGTTTATTGAAGGAATAGGCAATCACTCTGCTGCCTCCTGGACAGCATCCCAGTTTTTGGATCCTCAGCTGCCAATTCCTCAATACCCAGATGGCAAAAGGGGCCTCTTTGCCCCTTGAAGATCAAGTTGAACTTGGCCTGGACCCTATTCCACAGCTTAGGACTTCTCAGAGCCCTCTCTCCTTCTCCACATACTCCCTGAATTCCCAACCTTATTTCCTCTGAGCTACAGTTTCTGTGACTCTGGCCTCTTCACCTTCTGCTTCATGTGAGTTTCCACAAAAAAAAGAAAGAAAAAAATTCAATCAAGCCAAGCATTTCACGGATTTAGCAAATTTATTAAGGATTAGGAGATCTTGAAATCACATCACATACCACACGGCCACCTGCTATCTCCCAAATTTTCTCATTCAATCTCTAGAGTCTGTCCAAAGCTTGTATTCCCAGCATTTGATCCTCCCTGCACTTGCAACACCCCCACCTTCTACGGGGAGGCTGAGTTCACCCTCACAAAACACACTTTCCCACTACCTCTCTGCCAGGCCAGCCTGCTGCTCTTACCCCGCCCTCCAACACACATGCACGCACTCTACCTGATCCCAGGCTGCTCCAGCCTGCTCCCCAGCCAAGCTCAGAAGTCGCCTTTTCTTTCATCTTTCTTGGGCCACATGCAATAGTCTCCTTAGCAGAGCAGCCAGGCCAGTCTATGGTAGCAAGGGAGCTGGTGGTGAGAAACAGCTCCCAGAAGACTTGCAGAAGCACCAGGCGTTGTGGGACAGCCAGCAGGAGGGAGGTAGCCAGGAAGAGTTCCAGAGGATAGAGAAGGGTGTGCAGGGCCTGGTGACAGGGCCTGCAGAGTGTGACTGGCTGCCCACCATGCTGTCTGCTACATTGTCCACCACATCCTTCCCTGGCTCAGAATCCCACTCAAGATGGCAGATGAGCAGTCTCCAGCCAGCTGGAGGAGGGCAGCCCTCCAGAGTGAGCAGGCAGCTGTGTCTCCCCCAACCCTTGTCCTGCCAGCTGTAGGACACAACTCATCATAAAGGAACCTCTTGCCTTCACCTTCTGACTCCTCAGACCCTTGAGCCAATCCCTGAACAAAACCTGGAGACGGAGGATCAATGACTTCTGGCTTCCCTTAAGAGGGGTAAGGAGACCCCAGAAGCAGCAGGGCAGAGCTTCCCCCAAAGAGTTCCAGCCCCAGAGTTTTAGAACAGAAAAGGGGGAAAAGGGGAGCCCTATCTGCCCCAGCTTCTGGATGGCATAGCTGTTGTGACAGTATGTGTGTGTATGTTCTGGGGGACCATTCCAGCCAGAGACCCACCCCAGGCATCGGCACATTGCCAAGTGGACAAAGTGAGGATATGCAGGTCCTGGGACATATGAGGACTGTGACCCTGGAAGCTGGCTTCCAGCATGAGGCCTCTCTCCCTGTCCGGCACCAGGATCTGAAGACTGCAGACAGGGTCTTCAGCCCTGTCTGGGCCAGCTGTAGCCTCTCAAGCCTGGTTAGGTTCCCTACCGGCTCCCCCAGCAACACTGGGTGGGACTGGGCTCCAGACTGTAGCACCTGAAGCTTCTCCAGGAAGTTGGGCAGCCCTGTGACCATGAGGCAGCAGGGCTTGGAGCCATGCCACTACCTGTACCCTCAGGAACTTGAGCCTGGGGTGCTGCCACAGGAAACAACTGGAGGTGTCCTGGGAACAGAGGGCCTCTAAGCTACTGCCAAGCAGGGAGAGTTGACAAAAGGTAGGGATGATCTTGGAGACATTCTGGGTCTCCAGCTACAGTCTCCAGTGTTCTCAAATCAGGACCTGCGAGACTTTAAAGGACATTAGGAGACAGCTTCCGATGCTTCCTGCCTGAGAGTGCTTGAAGCTCAAAGCTAATCAGCCTCTGGGGCAGGGACAACCATACCCTAGAAGGGCCAAAGGGGATCCGCAGGCTCAAGTTGCCCAGACTCTCTGGGCCCCAGAAGTCCCAAGTTCAGAGTAGGTGTCTAGTAGGTTCAGAGTGATCAGTGCAGGCAGAGGAGCCAACCAGCCCTCAACAGGGTTGCCAGGGGATTGCTGCCCAAGTTCAAAGTCTCTAGCTTATGTAGGCCCTGAAATACTGGCCACTGGAGAAATCTGATGTCTACAAAGGCATGGGGGATGTGTAGAAAGATGAGTCTTCCCTTGGTTTTCCAGACAAACCAGCTA